GTGTTATACCCTTGAAGAATGTGGCGCTACAGGCAGTGTGAATGTGTGAATGTGAAAACCACTATATATGTTTACTGTCAAGTCAGCACATGTAGGTGTGACCCTGGGCTTTGTGTGCACGTGTGGGTGTATTTATTCTCCGTACATATAGTATATTATTTTTCATGTATGAATGTGTGGAGCCTTGGGCAAAGTGAGCTCATCCTTGGTGTGGGATTCTCCCCTTATTAAACAATCAGGGTAGAGAATAGGATCGGCAGAGACCAGCCGCTTCATGTTGGGAAGTTTTTATTTTGTTTTAATCGTAACAGTTTCTAGCAGCAGGCTTTGCTGACGACATGTAGCTGAAAAGAGAGTTTTATGAGAGAGAAACTACATGTGTGAACAGGTCAGGGCAGCTGAAGTGAGTGAATTATGGACTGTAGGGATGTAAACAGAGAGAGAGGAGTAGCTGGTGGGTTTTGATTGAAGGTCAGAGCAGTGTTCCTCGTTTTAATGCTGCCTTCAGGTGCTGCAGAAAGCTGTTATTTATGGATGTGTAGCTGCAAATGTGACTTGTTGTGTATTCTACATGTCTAATTGAAAAACTGATTTGGTATTTTCTCTGCAGGAGGTTTTCTCTTCTGTGATCCTTTCATAATTTCTTTTTTTGCAGTCGAAACTGTTTTTTTCAGGGACGTGATCATTTTGCCTGAATGCCTGAATTTAACAAAACTTGATGCATTTAAATGTAAATAATACAAAATATGGACTGTGTAGCAAACACTGGGACTATTACTGTAACTGTGAGCATCATCAAACTATAATAACCCAGACAAAGCGAATATTACTCAAAACTGAATAATTAAAAATAAATACTATAGATTAAATACAAATAATAATGACAGACTCCTAATGTCATGCTATTTGTAGATATCATTTAGGGATCATTTCTTAATAAACATATTCAAAGACTTATGACATTTCATTTATTTTGAGCATTCAGGTGAAACAAATTGAACCAGTAACCTTTACAGTCACTGCAGAGTTAAACCAGCTCAGAGCGATAGCTGGAGATGCAGTATGAATATGAGGAAATGCGCATAAGCAATGACTGATGCTATAATTGATTTATTGGCCAGTGTTCCCTCTAAGCATGGCCACCATCTTAACAGGCCATGTTGGCCATGTTATCATGTTCTACATCTTCTCAGCACCACATCATTGCAATTCAATTACTGTTGGAAATGGCCATTTTTCTGGTTGTATGCTCCACTCTCAGGGCTGTTCATGTGCACTTGTCCACCAACTGTATTTACAACAGCACTCGAAGGCAGCAGTACGCTCATGCACTGCAAATATTTAGACAGAGCTTTTTCAAGAGCTGATTTGTAGGTTTTTCACTTATAGTTAATGTGTTACCTCAGCCTTGAATAACATTGTACAGCAGAGAAATGTGCAGACTATTGTGTCTTCAGAACAATATTTGATTAATGAACAAAAATAAATATCTGTAACTGTATCTCAGTGTGGAGTAAGATCAGAGGCCAGATATTACATTAAATTAACTAAAACTGTTGAATTATAGTAAACTGCCTCATTTTAAGTTTCTGATTTACTCAAATCTCTATATCAAATATCTTAGCCTTATTTAAAACAAAATGTTAGGCAAATCTGGCAACACTGACACCATATCGCAGCAGTGTTAAGTAGCGGATAAAAAGGGCCAAAGGTTTCTAAATCTCAGCCCAACACAGCAGCAACTCAGCAACTATTGCAGATTATCAAACAAATTATCGAGAAACTCATTAGTGAAAAGAGCTGCTGAAGTGTTTAGTTGGTGAAATGAAAACCTGTTTGCTATCCATGGACTTTAATGAAAGACAGCTGGTACACGAGGGCCTGATACATCCTGTTGTATATTTGGTTTTTGGTTTGTTTCTGTAACAGGTGTGCATGTCTCGCCTTTGCCACTTTAAATCACTGCTCAACTACAAGGAGTGTGTACACAGACAGACAGACAACTGACATACTGGTATGAATGCCAAATGGACATGATGGGCTATTAATACAGCAACAGTCTTTGATAGGTCACTATGTGAGGACATAGCCCATTAAATCTATTTAAAGTTCACACCCACACCTTTCGTAAGTAACTTATGCTGTCAGATGTAACATCGGCTTGGAACAGAAGACCCTGGCTTCGACTCCACATCGTCTCATAAATTCTTTCATAAATCGTATCAAGGATACACAACAGGCCACATGAGCCTCCTCACACACTGTGGAGCTTGGAAAAAAAATCTGTGCCTACAAGTACCTAAATGTTAAACAGATACCTCATTATATATACAGCAGTTACAGTAAGTATAGACTATTTTTTCATATGGTATTGTTTCTCTTAAACACAGAAGAACTGCAGAGGCAAAGTGCTCAGAAGCTTTCACACAGGAAATCTAGGGAACCTTAAGGTGCCTAAAGTTGAAAAAATGTGCTCTTAAAAAAGGCAGAGGAAGGAGAAAAAAAGGCTTGATTTAGTTTTAACACCACTAACAACACTTTCCCTTGCACCCTAATAAGTCTAACAGAGAGTTGTGCCATGCCACACCATCAGAGGTAGTGACCGAACAAAAATATGAACCTATTGGATGTAATGTTTTTATATCCAAATGAAGAAATACAGTTTTAAATTACATTTTGTATTGTACCCACTGATGAGACTGCATTATATTTTGTGATTCCAGAGACCAGAGGGTGATACCTGAGACCAGATCTAAGCCCCAAGACCTACTCTCTACCACAGAGACCTGGAAAGAGGACAGACAATCACACAAGGCAAAGCTCAAGAACACCAGTCACACAGATAGACGAAAAAACACAAAGAAGGAGAGAGAGAGACAAGGACAGCATGCACACAAGGGAGAGAGAGAGAGACAAGAGGAAAGGCCGAATTTCCTGAAGGATGAAATTCCAGAAGTTCCGGAAATTGCTCAGCCTATATGCATTCCCATACACAAGTACACTGTATATACAATTACATAGGGAGCTAACATCTAACAAGCTCACCTAGGTGTCTTGACATCATTGTAGTTTATCCTACATGCTTGGAAGGCTGAGCTGTTTTCAAGTGGTTGCAATTTGGAACTTCACCACTAGATGGCACTAAATCCTCCATACTGGTTCTTTAAAATAAAATAAAAATATATATATATATATTTTTTACGATGAGTAAATAATAAGGTAGTTATCAGTGACAAGAACTAGCTGTTTCACTTTGAGAGATGAACATAACTCAACTTTATTTATGTAGCACTTTTGGCTGCTAAAACACTTCAACGTACAGAACATAATGCATGTTAAAATGTATCTAAGTAAAGCATGGCCTGGTCAAAACATATGTTAAATAGCTGTATTTGGATGCACCAGTATTTGAGTGGACGGACACACACGACACAGCGAGTTAAGTAGTGTGTCATGTGTGTACGGTCAAGGTCAGAGTGACTGCCTGAGCGAGCCAACAAGCCAAAGAATAATGTGACTGAATAAGTGACTGTGTGTAAGAAAATAGCTGAACACCGCACAGGATAAATTAATACCTATATCACTCCAATTCACTCTACACAGTATTTTTCCTGCAGCCTTTCACCAGATTGGCCAACCAAGTAATGAAATTCCACAGTTACATGTCAATGATCCCTGTTGCCTTGAATTAAATGCCATCGTAAATCAGAGCGCTCTCGATTCAGTAATGTCCTCCACAAGACGCCTATAAGGATAAGAAATGTAAAGTGATTCATTTTTAGGACCCCATTGCTAAATACAACACAGGGAGAGGTAGGTGGTGAGCATGGGAGATAATGTTGGCTTTTGAATCAATACTGTTTAAAATGGAGGTCCACAACAGCACATAATGAAAGGAGGAAGGTAGCCTTTACTTGATATTCATCTTCTGATTTTAAAATCTGCCTAAATTTCAGTGCGATAAAGGATTGTGACAATAGAATCAGTCATTAACCACTGTTCTTTGATTAATATGGAAATATTTAATATTTTAAGTGTTTCACCGGTGCACACATCACATATTTTATTGGCCTATTTCATGTTAAAATGTGTTTCATTGGCCCCGCTGTGTGGCTGCTCTGTTGGTTCAGTCGCAGCATGTCTGACTGTCTTCAGTGTGTCTGACTGTTTGGCTTTCTGACAGACTGCTTCTCTGTATATAAAAAAAAATAAATAAAAATAAGAAAATGAAAGACTTTTCAAACAAGTCTTGAGTCTTACTGTTACGTAAATAAAACAAAGTATTAGCAGTTAAATGCACCAAATTAAGTAAAATTGACTTTCTTGAGGATAGTCACTTTTAAAATGCCAACTTTTTAACAATTGAGACAGAATTTTAATGTTGCTGGTAGTTGATGTATGGTAAATGGTAAATGGACTGTACTTCGGCTGTAAAACAGCTTTCTAGTCTTCTGACCACTCAAAGCGTTGTATACTATGTGCCACATTCACCCATTCATACAGAAACTAATAATACTCATTCACTCAAGGACACTTCGACACGCAGTGGGAGGAGCTTGGGATCGATCCCCCGACGTTATAATTAATGGACTACCTGCTCTACCTCCTGAGCCACAGCCGCCCCATGTACTTGGTCTGAATACAGTTGGAAATGGTTGGGCAAAGCATTATATTTCATAAGTTTATCAGATGAATTTAATCCGATAGTAACTAACAGTGGTATAAATTCAGAAAAATACAGTACTATCCAAAGTGGTGATAAATTTGTATTTGTCAAGGATACGGACAATATTGTAATGGACTGGGTGACATGTTGGTGTTGATTGTTATGTTATATTGTCACTGTGTAAAGACTGTTATGTTCAGCTATGGCCAAGTGGTCTGTTAATTGTAGTCACTGTGTTTTCCAGGATGTCAGTGAATGTGTGATATGCTCTGATTGGCAGAGGGTTAAAGGGGGGCGGTTGTTTTTGTCCCTGCTAGTTCTTTGTAGAGTGTTTGTTAGCCTATACGTGGTAGTTGATGAAGTGAGATGTGTGGAGCACACTGTACACAGCCAGGTTTTGTTATTTTGCCATTGGCTACGGCCCATAGTAGCCTGTATTTTGTTCTCTAACAAAGAGCGAGCGAAACCAGTTATCGTCTCATAGTTTCTTACTGAGGTACAGTATGGAAGACAGTATGGAAGATTACAGACTGGATGTTTGACAGATTTTATTTTTATTTATGATATGATACACAGATCTGGATACAGATCCATAAACTGGTATACTGTTGAATCTTTAGTGGTGCTTGTCCAGTCTGTAGGCAATTTCTACAGCATGAAACATGCCTAAAATCGTGCCAGCTGGGATGTCGGAGGTATTCCGCAATGCGACTAGATATTGCTATGGTGTAAAGTGTGTTTTCCCTGCTGTTTTCCATTGTATTGGACAATGTAATTTATGCACACCTACATGATTACCAGCTTGAACAAAATACAAAAGTTCAAATACAGTTTTCGACGAACAACGGCAGTTTCAACAGCCTTTTAAAAGTGTGGTATTATTGTTAGTGACATCTGCTAAGTGCGATGCTGGTGCTTATCTTGATGACTCACATGTCTTTCTTCATTATATGGCTGATCACACCATATTGTGCTGTCAAGATGAAATTTACAATGTTGCAAGGACCTCATGTTGCAATTTTTTGCTGATCTGTATGTAGTAAAAAGCATGTCTTATATTCTAGTCACTGGTGAGAGTATCACATAGCTTTGGGTCTTAGGGTTAGGGTTAGGGTTAGGGTTAGTCCCCACGTTTACAGCAAAGTTATCTTTTGATCAGCACAAAAATCAAAGCACAGAGGTAAGCTGAGGACTTAACCTGGAATATTATTGGATGTCCACTTGAAATGCTGCACTTGCCTCTAAGACCACCTGACAACATACCAGCCCTGCTTAGTAATGGCCTGACCATAGATCGCCGCCTTGTTTTTGGACAGGTGACTGCACCCGGAGGACTAAACACTATTGAAATGTCAACTCACATGGTGTGGATGCTGCTAAGATACACATCATCTCAGCTTACAGTGAAGAGACCTGAATTGTGTTTTAGTGTTGAGTTGTATTGTTGACTTACTAGCTCGGTAGCTAGCTAAGTTAGCTCCATAGCTTATTGAATTGAACTGGTTCAGCCAGCTTAGCTCCTATTTTTTATTTTTATTTTTTTTGATATAGTGAACCACTATCACTGCCTCGCTCTCTGCAGCTTATAGGCTGTTTGTCATGTTGAGTGGAGTTTTCTTCTGGGTTGAGATATTGGTTTTGGAAGCCCCAAAGCATTTCCTTGTCTCTCCAGCACATTTTGTGTTTCTTCTCCTTCTTTTTAAGTTTTTAGTGTTTTTTTACACTTAGATAATTACATTTAAAAAGAGCACTGAGTTGTTGATGGTTGGGAGATGTTTCCCCAAAGGTATTTTTAAAAGACACCTTAGTTTAGAGCGTATATTATAAAAGCAAACCTTTTCTTGTTCTGTTAGGCTGTTGGAAAAAAGTTTTCTCCCTGCTGGCTGTAAAGCTTTTCTCACTGATCCAAAATCCTCCTCAGGAATTCTTTGTTCCATTCATCGACACCCTAGTCTCACCTCTGAATTTTACCTACTGAACATTACTTTCCTGTGATACAGATGATTATGAAGAAGCTGATGACCTTGTACTGGATCAGAGAGCTGGCTGAAGGCCCAAAATATAAATGAAAAATGTAGTAATGTAAGAAGAGGACATCGCTGGGATTCAACCTGGAAACGTTTGCTGGCATTCCAGTAATGTTGGCTTCTTCTTGTGAGGCCACCAGACAACATGCAAACACGTTGGCAGGTTGGTAAATTATGGTAACATTGGTATTTTTGGCACTTGTATAACATATGACTATTTCCAAAAGTGTGCTGCATTTGGTACAGGCTGGATTACCAATTGGGCAAAGCAAGCCCAGAGCCTCAGGGGACCAGAAGGTTCTAGGTTTTATAACAATAAGTGGTGGTATGGGAACGCACCACTAAAGCACAATATAAATCGAAATGACGAGGTCCTTAAGGCAACTCTTATATTGTTGTTGAGTCTTGAGACCCTGCCAACATGTCAAATCTAGTTTTAATTATTTTTCTTTTTCAGTTTATATCATCCTTACTGTACATGGTGTATATTAAATACATTTGTGTTTTAGCAAAGGGGCATTAGTTGGCTTTGAACAGAATATATTGACAGTCCATCCAGGATTTTAGTGGGTTGTTTTTGGGATTGTTGTGGCCTTAAAGACGTGATTTCTTCTTTTTAAAGTATTTTTTTAGCAATGAAATTGCTGTAGAAAGTCAAAATTTCAGAGTTTTTGTATAGTTAATTAAATCAACAAAATTGCACTGTTTTGTCAAGTTAAAATGTTTGCACATTTCTGGACACCCCGGTGGTCATGATGTTCTGCAGCCCCATACCAACATACTGTGATGCACTGTATGTTCTGACACCTTTCTATCAGAACCATTATTAACTGTTTCAGCAGTTTGAGCTACAGTAGCTCGTCTGTTGGATCGGACCACACGGGCCAGCCTTCACTCCCCACGTACATCAATTAGCCTTGGCTGCCCATGACCCTGTCTCTGATTCATCACTTTTCCTTCCTTGGACCACTTTTGATAGGTACTGACCTCTGCAGACCGGAAACACCCCCCAAGTGCTGCAGTTGGAGATGCTCTGACCCAGTCATCTAGCCATCACAGTGTGGCCCTTGTTAAAGTCGCTCAGATCCTCACGCTGCCCATTTTTCCTGCTTCTAATACATCAACTTTGAGGACAAAGTGTTCACTTGCTGCCTGATATATCCCACCCACTGACAGGATAACCAGATAATCAGTGTTATTCACTTCAGTGTCAGTGGTCATGTTACGGTTTATCGGTGTATAAGAATGACTGTTCTGTTTCACACTTGTCACTGTCTGCCAATCTACAGTATAGACAGTTATGGAATAACTCAGTTGTATCACATTGAGATCCCTGAGGCTACACCTTCTCAAGTACGGGTCCACAGGCTGATGTGTATCAATATGGGGGTCCTTGACACCAAAAAGAGAACCACTGATGTACTTCATGGGTATTTGAAGGGGTACTCCAGCGATTTAGTGTTGCACTCTCATCAAGATGGTGGACTTGTGAGAGACAGATTAACAAAAAAAATATGGTAAAGAAATAAATTTAAAAAAAAGTAAGGGTCAGGCAGCAGAGGCTGAGATCCGAGTTCTGTTAACATCATCACTGATCATTCATGTTAAAGCCTAGTTTCTGTAAGATAATAAAGTATTTTGAATGCCCAAAAGAAAATGAATATGCAGGTTTTATTATGACTGAGAAATAACTGAACATTGTGGTTGTTTATTTGTGCTTTGGTTGCACAACAGCCACAATTCGACATTTACTCTATACAAAACCTGCCATATAACTGCATTGCATTCTGGTCCATTTCCTGCTCATCTGGCTGTAGAATTAAATCTCTATTCCTCTTCTACGATTGCTTTGTCTCTTTTCGATGGTTGAACAACATGAAACATCTGGAGATAGAATCACATTTGTTCTCCTCACTTCATCTGGCAATGACCAAACACAGAACAACTAAATTGAGCCCAAAATACAAAGTACATTTCAAATTACTATTTTACAGCAGTTTAAAGGGGGGATTTCCTTCCTGTATTGCAGATGTATATCTAATAAGGAGCTCTGGGTGTGTTTTATAATATTTTATAAATCTGCTTGACTGTACATGTGGTTTAACGTGCAGTTATTTTATGAGCCTTTTGATTGCAACAGTGTGACAAGTAGAAACAAGCAGAGATCCACAGTGATGTTTTCAAATTGAAGCTGCCAATACCTGAAAACTGATATCTTTAATACCTGTAGTCTCATCAAGAGAAAGGGGAAGAGGAGGGTCTCCACTTCTGTTTCTTACAGCATCATCATATGAAACACACACACACACACACACAAATATTTAAGTATGCACAAACATTTCCTTTTTTATCTCTTGTTCTCTCAGAAACACTTCCTCTCTTTTCACACATACATATGCAAATACATATACACATTTTCTCTTGTGCTTCTAACTTGTGAGGACCTTCATCAGCAGATGTTTTCGTTAGCTACTTGCCCTAAACTTACCCATCACAACTACACTTCAAAACCCCAACGTTCACCTCAACATTGAAGGAACTTTGGTCTTATTTTCATAGATTTGACCTTCATTTCTATTGATTATGGCAATATTTGCTGAGGTGTGGGAATGCAACAGACAGCAACATTTGACAGGGCAAGAAACATAAGCAATTGTAAACGAGTCAAAACTTAAGCTAAATTATCCAAACCACAGTCAGTAGGAATCTTTCATTGCACAGAAAAAAACAAGTGTGCACACAGCTACAGGACGATTTGTTCTATTCTCTAAACATATTTGGCTAACATGAGTGCTTTGTTTAAAACCTGTCTGACCAGCTTGTGTTCATGTTTCATGCGACAATGTTATTGTCACAGATAGGAAAGATGATGGCTCACGTTGAAATAAGAAATGAGGACCACAGAAAATGTTTTTTGCTTTAAAAAATCCTGTCCTTAGATATTTCACAACTCATTGGTCCTCACAAGGATAGAAGTATAAGAGCTGACACACACACACACACACACACACACACACACACACACACACACACACACACACACACACATTGTATTAAGGTCAGTGTTGTCAGGCAGGCTTTTGAAAGACATGCAGAGCTCTGTTATGGCCATCACCTGCCTCAGACAGTTAACCTTTCCCTGACCAACACATACTTACAGAGCAGAAAACCCCTGTGCTGCAATGCAGTGATAAGTTCAATCACAGCTGTGAGTGTCTGTGTACTGATGCTTGATTTTCACTTCTGGTCTGTATCAGCTGCTTGCAGGAATAGCTGCAATTGTGGAAACTCATAATGTAATGCAACAGCATCATAAAGTCTTACATTACAGTAAAAGTTTAGATTGCATGATGTAACAATTTTGGTGTGTGATATAATATTATGCATACGGTATTCTGGGATTCATTTTTAAGAATATATTTCACATTTTAAAAAATACTAAAACTACTGTAAAGTCATTTTCAGACCCATTTTCAAGTCGTATCCTGATCCATTACATGTTATGATGCTGACACAGAGCTGACTCACTGTTTGGGGCAGCAGTGGCTCAGTCTGTCCAGCACGGACCACAGTATGGAGTGTGGACTGGTAGCTGAAGAGGTGCCAGTTCCATCTCCTGGGCACTGCTGAGGTGCTCTTGAACAGGGCACCTAAACCCTAACTGCTCCCAGAGCACCACTACATGACAACCCATCACTTGACCACATCTCCACATTTGCATGTCTATAAGCCCTGTGTTTGCATGGTTGTATTTCGGGCCTATGTGTGTAAAGCATTGAGTGAAACAATAAATTCAATTTAAAAACACATTTTAAACATGAGCATAACATTGTGTAAGGGTTGCTGTTTGGTTAGGTTAAGGAAAAGATCATCGTTGCGTTTAAAATAAGTTATTTGAGTCAGGTGACCCCAAACTCCATCTGTGGATTTTGTCGCTCTGTATTCTACGTCACCTGACTGCCTGAAGGCTTTCTAGCAGCCTGGTGCATCTCATACAGAGCATGGATGTATAAGGCAGAACCTGATATGTCGCCGCAGCTCTGCTTTGCATCTAATTTCACCCAATCACCACTCGCTGTATTGCATCAAACAATTCCCCTAAAAGCAGTTTTCCCATAGACCACCATTATAAAAGAGATGTCAGTAAAACTGTTGACAGTACACCTCAAACCACAAACATGGTCAGTTATACCTCTTTCTATTCAGAATTTATGATCCATGGAGGTTTTGTAAAACTTTTCTCAAGCTGAGAAAAGTGATTAAAAAGTCTCTGACATCATCACAATGCAAAGTCTGTGGGGCCAAGTGGGAACTCGTGGGTGGCGCATATTCAATGGAATAACTAGGAAGTAAACCCAGAAGCGAAGCACGCAATTTTCATTGAACTGAATAGGCACCATCTTTGCATCCAGTATTTCTCTAAATAATATTAGATGTTAAATGGTACCTTGTGGATTTGTATGTATGTATTTGTATGAGATGCCAAGGGACATTACAAGATGTCGGTACCTGACGACCTGACGATGAGGGCAACAAACAAAGCCAAACAAGCTGCCGCAGCTACTTGAGGTTCTTTTGCACGCAATGAATTCAGTTTCCCTGTGCACCCATAAGTGATAAAGGGTTTAGATTGAAAAAAAAAAAAAACACTTTCTTTACTATTAAAATACAAAACTGGAAAAGTTGTAGAGGCTGTTGTTGTCCAGGCTTTGTCCCCCACAGAAAACACAAACAATAAAACTACAAGCATCAGTGTTGTGACTGAAATACATGCTTTCTTTCGTTATCATTTTTCTATGGCATCAGCTAATGTAATCAACTATGCTAGCTAAATGACTGACAGAAGTTGGTTTTGCAGTTGCCCGGCAACAGCAACGGGGTGCTGCTAACACTTATGTCTGTGCTGGTTTCTCAAAACAAAGGCAGAGTGGATCAACAGGAATTTTCAAGCATGCAAAGTGTGTCCTGAATGATCAGGCCCTTTGTATTTAGTGTTTGTGATAATTACTGAAGTTGCTTCGGATAAAAGCAGCTTCCATCTGTGTTTTCTGCTAACTTGCTTGCTGTTTCTGGCTTTTGATGGAGTTTTATTACCATTAAATATGTAGTATATTCATGTGGAGAATTTAATGACCTTTAAATACAGTAAACAAATGTATAAGGCTATACAAGTCTGTAAAGTAAGTGGTTTTCTGTCAGAATGCCTATATTTTTGTGATATGTAAAAACATTGTAGATACAAAAAAATATATATTGAATCTACACATTTCAAAATGGCATACTGTATTTATTTACATATACAATCTTGATTTAACAGGCAATTGCACTGCCCTTTATAATCTGCCATATCGGTTATTTTCCTGGTGTACTTTTACATTTTCATTCTATTTCTCAAATATCTTGTAAATGTCCCTTTATTCTATCTATCTATCTATCTATCTATCTATCTATCTATCTATCTATCTATCTATCTATCTATCTATCTATGTATCATAAAATAATTAAAATGCCATTACATTTTTCTGATTTATTAAAATCTCTGTATTTCATTGCAGTAGACAGGTCTGGGTAAATTCTCTAGAGGCAATCATTTCCCTTTAATTCAGTCACAATGAAATGAAATGAATCCTCATTTTCTTGAGGGACCCCCTGGAGCCACTGCGTTGACCCATGGAGGTCCCCAGACCCCACTTTAGACAACCGCGTGGCTTTAATGTCTTGGTTTGTTTCTGTAAGTACACAAATGCGCCCCCTGCAGGTAGCCTTCCCCCACTGCTCCTCCTCCTCCTCCTATACTCCGCTCTCTGACTCCACGGCTCCTCATTCACTAGAAGATGGCGGACTGCGCTCCACTATTAGATGAGGAACTCTCGTCCTTTGTCTTCAATTACCTGACAGAAAACTCCGGCAGCCAGGTAAGATCTCGGCCCCTCTGGATACACGGAACCTTGGGCTTTTCGGACCGGGGTGCATCTGCGCGCGTCGCCGTCCGTGGCACACGCTATGCCCGGTTGATGCGAAGCTCTCGCCCGGCTTGTCAGCAGCATCTCCCCGGCACAGTGCGACCCGGCGTCTCGTTCTGCGTGCGTGTGTGTGTATGTGTGTGTGAATGTCTACTATGTCTTGACGTCCGGCTTTCACGTGTTTTTTTTTGGGAGGAAATGTCATCAGCCGTGGGGCAATTTGACGGATTAAAAAGGAATAGTTGTGTTTGTGTCGGTGCTGGAAGCTGCGGGCTGCCGGTGTGGGGCTGCTCGGGGAGCGTTATTTGGCATGCAGAGGGGCGCTTTTGAAACTTTTGACGCAATCTTGAGGGAAGTTTTAATGTCAGTGCTGGAGACTTGGACACGTGGTGCGCCTCTGAACGCATGGACAGCCTGAGGACTATTGTGATATTATGACATAATGATACTAATTCACCGGCTTCAGGACAGCTCGGTTTTTAAAAAAATGTGCAGAGAAAAGACCCACTTGTGTGTTACATGGCGGGTTGGATGTTATGTTTTATCTGGTTTCCTCGTAGAATCGAAGCTGGTGTTTAATAAATGCCTGTTTGTGGAAGCACTGCAATACATCAGTGCTGCGTAATGTTATTCATCCACTCCATTATAAGCTGCTTGCCACAGCACCGTGAGTTTAACCGCTTGGATGTCCGTAGGCTGTTCGGTGTGCTTCAAAGTTGAGCAACTCCCACCGATGATTCCTCCAATTTCTCCCAATCGGTCAATTTAGCACACGGTGTCGTGAAAAGCAATGAGACAGTGGGTTTCAGTCAGCTGAGACCGTGGACGAGGTTTGGCGTTTTCATAAGCGTTTGCGTAATCGTTAGGAAACAGTTACAAAACGTTCGTCTGGTTCACACGACTGTTTGCTTTGGCAAACCGAAAACAACGTATCCTTGAGCAGAGTGGCTGAACGGGTGATGACAGTTTGTTGCTGTGGGAATCTAGAGGAAGAGATTTTGCAGTGAATTTCAAGAAAACGTCAAGATTCCAAACTGCATTAAGGAATCTGCAATTTAGTGGCACCTTGCTTATTGGCAACCGTGCATAACACCTACAACAAACATTTAGTTTTATTCTTTCATTGGATTCGGTGCACAGTCATCACACCAAGCAGCACCTATTGAAACAGTACGTGGATTTACAGAACTGGCTTCTGTTAATCCCAGAATAATCTCCTACCCAAGCACCCGTGGAGGGCGGTAGCGAGTGGTGGCTAACAGTGATAGAAGTTGAGATTCCATCGAAATGAGTGATGCTTTGTACATAAGATGTATGCCGAATTCTCTGGGGGAACCTATTTATTAACAATAACATATGGGCTGTGTAATGTGATCCGCGCCTTGTTGCGCACATGGAAGGAAACAATAAATTAGCAGATTTCCAAACAGGGTTTGGTTTTCACACGGCCGATCAGGTTTAATCTCCATCTCACTGCTGACTGCGCTTCCGAAACACGCACGGATCGTTACCGTGCGCGTCAAACCCATAACACGGCGTGTCACTGGAATACAGGACCCCCGGTGTTTACTGCATCACAGTGTGACGTAAGATTGCGTCGGGGCGATTGTTATTGCTCTGATTGCACGGTCATCTGAGGGTTTGATGTGTGTGTGTGTGTGTGTGTGTGCGTGCGTGTGTGCAGGGGGCGATCTGTCACAGCTGATTGACAGTTTAAGCAGGTTAATTCAGTGTGTGGTGGGATCCAGGGAGACTGTGTGCTATTTATAACGTGCAGCAGTGACATGTGCTTCCACATGAAACACACACATACAGACAGTGTACACACACACACACACACACACACACACACACACACACACACACACACACACACAGATACAGTATATACACACAGTACACACACACACACACACACAAACACAAACACTCAAAGATGTATCTTTGAGTAATGAGAGGAAATGGCCCACCATGCGGAAAGAATACAGCAAAACACCTCTTAATGTAGGAGCCAACCTTATGACAACATATTTTTTTTTAAATGCTGTATAATATAAATAGATACTGATAATTATAACATACCTATAATAGAGAAACGTATTGTATGCCTACTGAGTTTGTACAGTGGTTTTATTGTACCTGTGGGTATGTCTCATGGTATAACCCTGTCTTCCTCATGATGATGGTATAATCCCATACGATCCCACAGCGCGTCTGTTTTCCATCAGTCATATGTATTATATGTCTGTTTACTCCCTTGACAAGTGGTGGCCCTCATGATGTGCAGCATTGTTCTAACCTACAGAAATTGAAATTCTTGTGGAGATCTCAAAGTTCCCAAAGATACCACATCTGTCAGGCTGAATTCTGGGAAAATGTGACATAATAATGCACAAGGCATCCAGAACGTTTCAACTTGATGGAATTGTGCAGCCATAAAAACCTTTGGTTTGGATATTACACTCAGCGTAAGCATCATATAGCTTCAGCAAAGAGCTGAACAAGCTCCTATAGAATGTATGATGCTTTCAGACAGTTACAGCTGCTTACAGGTAAACAAAAGAAGGAAACGGTACAGTAACATACATTTTCTTCTCGGGCCTGTAATGCTGGATTGCTGCAAAGTCCTTGAGTGACACAGAGGGAGAAAGAGGTTGCAACTTATAAGGAACGGGGAAAAAAATCAAACAGTACATTTTATCACCGCTTAACTTCTTTCTTCATGTGTAGATAAGGTTATCTGTTCTACAAACGCAGCATTAACATGTTAATATTTACTCAGGGTCATTAGTGTGGACTGCTTTCTCTTGGTCCTTCTCTCTCTCTCTTTCACTGTGCATCTATGCCACTCGCCCCTGCCGGCTGGTTATTGTAATACTACTCTATCCTCGTGACTGGAGTTACAGAACAGTGCTGCTGCAGTCATGTGAGTTGTAGTGGAGGGAGGGGTGGAGGGATGGAGGGAGTGAGGGAGGCGTTACCCCTGACGTAGGCTAGTGACAGGCAGGCCTTCCCTCTCCTCCTCCTAACATGTGACTGCTCCCCCCCCCCGTCACACACTCTCTACCTCTCTCGCTCAGTCTTACACATACATAGAGTACGCACGCTTACTGTAGTTTTTCTCCGTTCCACTTCCTGTATTCTTCTCACTCAGACACATTCTTGGTCTGTCTGTTTTTCTGTCTTCCTGTATGCCAGAGGCAGTTTATGATACGTTTGAATTAAGTGGGTTTATTGCACACATGGAATAAATGAAAATATGAACTACTTTTTGGAAGCGAGAATTCAAAAAACTGGATGTGCAGAAATTGTGTTCATTTGTGTTAAACGACAAGAAAGGCTGCTGGTTACTAGTGATTTTACAATTGATTTCTTTTTGCGCGTTCCCAATGCAGCAGAGACTCAGTGTGTACATCAGAGCTCAGTTTCTTGTTGATATAAGTACCAAAGCACTTATAGTTGTTCATGTGGAGAGCTATAAGTGCCTCAGCAGTGGATGTGATGTTTTTTCTAAGGTCAGTAATGAGTTTGGAAATATTCACCTTCAAAGTGATCATCACAACATTGTACACGTCCATTGACCACAGGCTCGTGTGATGCCTCATTGGTCGGCCGATACCTCACTCTCTGGCTTAAATACACGATGCTCTATAAACAAATGTGTGGTTTTCAGCAGAGCACGCCATCAAAGTGTCTGCTCCGTGCAGCTTTATAACTCACAGTTTCACATAGCTTATTACTCAAAGGCCTACCACATATGTTAAGGTTAAGAAACAAACAGTGCAAGCATGCTCACGACTCTACGTTGCAGCCTATTGAGATTATATCTATATGTCTAAGATTGTGTGGGCTTTGAAAGGATTCGTAAAGATTTTAAGATACAATCAAGTCAGTTCCATGTAAATCATTTGTGCAATAGGTCTTCCTGTCTGTTATTCGTGAGTTGCTGTGTGTAAATCAGCATTAAAGTGTTGCTGTGGGTCACTTCCTTCATGAATAAGAGAAAGGTCTGACATGGTAGACTTGCTTCCAGGTTACTGTGACACTGTAAACCTTACTGTAAACTCTGTAATACTGTTGAAGCTCAGAAAGGTGATCTGTTAATCTGAACAGCCGGTAGCTAACCAGCCAGCAGCCTCATTGAGCAAAGACATTGATGTCTATGTGAACTTGACACTTGCCGCTACTTCCGAGCTACCACTCAGTTTAAGTGCTTATCAGGTGCATTATGGCTGCAAAGCTAACAAACTGTAATTTTCTAAACAGTCAGAAGTCTTGAATCTATTTTCCTTTTTTAAAAGCAACAAAGCAGGAAACTAGGTCTTTGTCACTAATTTAAGACAGTCAAGTCTGATGGTAACATAATCATAGTCAGCTGTTCTCAGAGCCTCAAATATGGCACAGGGGGGCCCCTGAAAAGCCCTAAACATGAAGCTCAAATTTTGTGTTCAAAGGAAACATAAAAGCTTCTGTCTCTATCTATATGACAGAATCTATTGAGAGGTTGTTTTAGACTGCAGTTGGTCTCCAGCACCAACGCTAATCATTGACCGGGTGTTGAGGGCCAGTCTGGGTCCATCCAGGGGATTGACTCTTGGAAGATCAGGCCGACTTAACGTCAGTCACCACATCCTGCTGTAACAGGACACAACCAGCCTCAGGGCATATGCTAGTAAAATATTACCCGCGGCTCGTTCAGTTATTCCACTCTGCCTTTGAGCGTGGCAGTTAGGCAACCTTGCTCTTGAAGAGAGAGTCACATGTAAGTTCAAGCACACGTGATGGTAGCCAGTGAGAAAGTGTAGAAGACACATCACATATATACCTCTTAACATCAGAATACAATGCGACAAACATATTTATTCCAGTATATGTGCTTTGAAATCACGTGTGACGTAAAGTTCACTTCAGGTCTGGAGGTCAAGCGGTCAAGTAAAAATAGTTGTGCCAGT